TCTGAGTAAATTGAGGGCGCATTTGCAAACGATGGCGCTTAGCGAAATTTGATTGGCTAAATCTATGGTAGCCATCTTGGATGGTACACACACACAGTTCTGCGTATTTCGAACATCGAATACATTGCGGTTAGCGCTAGTAGGGTGTTTATGAGTTTTCCCGGCCAAAACCATTATATACCACAATAAATGCTTATGGCATTACAACTATTAAATTCCCAGACCATAGGCATTCTTATACATTAAATTCCCCGACCAATATTATGAGTTTTCCCGGGCCAAAACCATTATATACCACAATAAATGCCTATGGCATTACAACTATTAAATTCCCAGACCATAGGCATTCTTATACATTAAATTCCCCGACCAATATTATGAGTTTTCCCGGGCCAAAACCATTATATACCACAATAAATGCCTATTAAATTCCCAGACCATAGGCATTCTTATACATTAAATTCCCCGACCAATATATATTTCATAATATGCCAAAACTTTGCAAACGACCTATCGATGACATCACGTGACCCCGATGACGTCATTAAACATCATTTTGACCCCGATGACGTCACGTGACCCCGATGACCTCATTTAACATCATTTGACCCCGATGACGTCATCGACCCCGATGACGTCATCGATACGAAAAAGCAAATTTCGCATCTAGTCACGTCTCAATCCCCCTCTTGCAGACTCTTGAGCCAATCTTGTTTTAAGCGAGTCGATTGCATTTTTCCCCATTACTATGGCATCTTGCTTCATCTCTTGATACTTGCGATATTCCTCGAGGATCAGTTTAAACTCTTGATCGCTAATTTTATTATCCTCCAAAGCGGCGGAAACGATGCTATCGATTGTACCTAGATTAGTCTTGCAAATAATCTGTATGGTTTTGTGTTTTTCGCTCTTTTTTTCCAACATTTTACTCAGATATTTTCCACCGTAATTTAACCCGCAACAGACGGCAGCCAACGAACCGAGACCGATGGTTAAAGGACCAATCACGACCGTACTTGCAACGCCGATTGCACCTGCGGCGGAAACGATAGACAGAGTATTCAAGCTGGTATCGATCCAGTCTACGATACTCTGAGTCTTTTTATATTTTTTGTATAGTTTTTCTCGTTCCACCTCATCGTTTTTAATATCATCTAGCATCTCGCTAATCTTGTTCAATCTAAATTTTTCCGCCTCAAGCGGTACATCTGCAGCTATTTCAGCCATTTTTTTTAATTATATCACCTTTTTAATTATAGTCTCAATCGTAATGTCTGCACCTCTATTATCTACAAGTTTGTTTTGTTCATCCGTTACTTTAAACGTAAGCCCTTGAATCATTCCCATTTGGAGGGGTTTAAAAGTTTGAATTTTTCGAGTAGAGGGCTCAACTTCTCCAAGTCTTTTATCTCGAACGGTAAGAGTATCGAGAATAAAGGATGCGCACCCATCAAAAAGAGTGCATTTGCTCGATAGTTCTTGGAGGTGAACATGCATCCTATATGGGATGTTACGGCAATATGACGTACCACTGTAAACTTCATTCTTTTTGAAATGAGTACTACCCAGTTTGAAGAATGCAGCCAGCTCCGGACTGAAATATATTAAAAAATTTTCGGTGGTTCCCTCTGGCGATTTAAATTTAAACCTTATATTACCAGTGCTTCTATCAAACAGCATATGATCAATGTATGGTTTTAGAGCATCATTATTTTTAAAAATGTTTATCATTTCTTCGCACGTATAAAACCCTGGAGTAATCGTTAATAGTACCCGTCCTTGTTCGTAAATTTCTTTAGCTCCACGCTCTATGATGGAATATTTAAAAATGACTAAATTTTTTTCAACGTTGAAATATCCAACCGTTCTGGTTATGGATTTTAAAGCAATTTGCATATTCCCCTCTCGGTTATCCAACGGATACTCGAATCGGTTTAAAACACCATTTTTGATGTTTGTATTGATACAATGCATTTTATCTATGACGAATAATATAAAATGGAGTTTCAATACACAAACGCGAGATATAATCCGAGTACCAAGTATTCGATCGTCGATAAAGTTACCAATCTCAATAGCCATCAGATTGCCGTGTCCGATACTAGAGAGTTTCAAGTAGTATTCCCCAACATTTTTGCCGACTACCCGCTCAAGATTACACCCGACCAAGTAAAATCCAGGTGGGGGAACATGTCGAGTGA